CTGTAGACTTTTGAATTCATGCTCCCGCTACCATCATGAATTACATCATCAATAAAGATTATTGAGCATGTTGCAGTAGCAGCCAAGCCATGACACTACCTCCACCGTGCTTGACCGACAAGCTCCTATGTTTTCTTTCTTTACACACAGTCTGGCCTTTCCATCACTTTGGTAGAGGTTAATCTTGGTCTCATCAGTTGATAAAACTGTCTTCCAGATCTTTTGTGGCTTATCTCTGCATTCCTTTGCAAATTCCAATCTGGTCTTCCGATTCTTACCCCTGACACTTGGCTTAACATGCACATAATCTCATGCAGTGACTGCCACAGTCTTCAAGAATGTCAACAGCATAAAATGTGTCATAAAATAACTGTGATGTTCACAACATAGCCAGATTTTTTATTGCAAATATGCAAAACGATACCCAGCCATGTGGTTCGCCTGATGCATGCATCCTAGTGCCCTGAGACCCATTTCTTCAATCCTGCATTCAGCTATCTCAGGCTTAGCTCTGATCACAGCTAAGGCTTAACATTTTCTTGACTGTAGTTTTGCAAGCAAGAGTCTGGTAGATTTCACCTCCTTTGTGGCCACTGCTTGCAAATAATAGGAAAGCTATTTGACTGCCAGTGCCACTATATTTGTGTGGTATGTAAGTGATTGTCAAAATGAAGCTACAACAAAAATATACCCATATGCTCCAAAGTGTTATTCGCTGACAAACACACAAAAACTTCTCATTTACTACACAAGTTTTTGTCTTGCTCAAGCATGTTTATCATTGACTGCTTGAAAAATATCAGATACCTTGTATGTATTTTTTTATGTATACATTGCAAAAATATAAAAACTAAATAAACAGAATGAACTGAGTACAACCGAATGAATGAATTAAATCAATAAAATTATTTAAAGGCCAATACAGGTATAGATGACAAACACAATTTGCACTGTTAAGGCTGCTACACTTCAAATGTGAGTTGAACAAACATCATAAAAAAGTCACAGTAGCACTTTTAAAGCAGTCCACTGGCTTTAAATACAGGGTGTCCCAAAAAAATTGCCATCATTTGAGATGTGAATATTTGAGTAACTACATGTCCTAGGCAAACGAAATTAAATAGGCTTCATGTTGAACAATGCAAGATTTATCAAAATCCTAACAAAAAATTCAGAGGGATGTAGATTTTCCAACTGATTTCACTAAGCTTCACAAATGTTCAATAATTTCACTGTGTTTGAGCATATTCTAACACACAGAATGCCTTTTCATTTCTAGTGTCTTTTCACACCATTCTTCAACCTGAAAAAATATTAAAAATTAAACTTGTTTAGTTTTTACACATTTTGTTTGAGATCATTTGAGGGAGACTACGAAATTATGTCAATTTTTTTGGGACACCCTGTAAATGCATAAATGAGAGTCTGCATGATACACAGTCCATTGGGAAACTGCATTATTGTCTTCAGCTGATTTTACTGTATATGTATACATATGCATGCAAAAGTTTGGGTGTTGCTGATCATACTATGTTTGTTGATTGAGTAAAAATTAAAAAGTTAACACAATATCTACAGAGAAAACACTTCCACACATTGTAATGCACAATTACTGTTTATTTGCTGAATTTACATTGGGAAAAATTACCATAAAATGGCCTGTGCAGAAGTTATAGCAACTTTTTGTATTGTATGTTTAATTTTTTCCCCAATACATTACATTTAGCAAATAAATAGAAATTTTGCAGTAATATTTACAGAAAAATCCAATTTTTCAAATTTGTTTCCTTTAGAGGATGTGTCAGTTCATTTTAGTTTCACAAAACTTATCTTCACGTTTCCCAAAACATGTTATTTGACCATAGGTATTCAAACTTTTGCCTTCTGCCCAATGACCACTGGGATACACTCCAAATGCGAAATATTCAGATGTGCTTTTTTTCACTGGATGCAACATGACATTTTTGGAATTGTGCCATACTGTTTGAGCTGTAAAAGTAGAACAAACAGACAGATATGGTTTGCTCCTCCCAAATGGTCAAACTGTGATGTTGGGTAGGCTACTTCTGGAAAAGCGGGAAGATATCAGAGAGTTTCACCACTTCATTCAGGAAATGAAACTTTATGAGTGCTTTTGGAAAAAGCTCTGATGCAGTTTGAGCTGCATTTGGAGATGCAGCACCACACCACCCATGACAAAACAAGAGAAACTATGTTTGTCAAAATGATCTAGTTGCTGGGGAATGACTGATCAGTCATCTTGGTTGTTGCCATGCCAGTGCCAGAGACAGCAGTGATTGGTGAGTTCTTGTCACAAAAGTCAACAAAAATTGGACAGAGTGGATAACATAAATGTTGCATTTTTAAGTACCAAAAAATTTTGTTTGGTGTGTGAGATATACATGTGTTCGAATGAATTTATTGATATATGCATAAAGTATATAAAGGCCTTAGTTATATTCCACTTGACCTATGACCTAGGTAAATTTATATACTGTATATATGTTTAGTTTGGAATATGCCCAGTGGCAGTGTGAATTGTATTTATTTTATTGTAAAACAATTACAACAGTTACACAATTTGTAAGATGCTTTTTTCTTTTTAAAAGCTTTTCATTTTGTTATAGGTATAGAAGAGGACAAAATAAGCTTCATCAGAATGTATTTATTACTATCAATAATTCAGTACCCTTATTCTCATCATGTGAACACAGGATTCACACAAACTATCACATGAACATCACATGATTTCCATAAGGTGAATGCAGTTTCAGGTGCTTATTGCTGACATCCAGTGAGATCAACAGTGGCTGCATGTTCCAACCAATGAGTGCCTACCTCTTACTCTCATTCTTACGCCTCTTGGATTCTTGTTACAATGGAGGCTCTTGAGGGAAATGTAGGTTTTTACTTTGCTATTGCTTTTGTTAGTTTGCTGCTCAAGTTTTACGTAGCTTTCCCACAAGCTCTCAAACACTCCAGCGTTATGATAGGAAGGTGCCGATGGTATTTCTTATTTCTCTTTTTGAACAAGAGGGCAACAATGCTGGATTCTATCATAGCAAAATACAGTGCAACAGCAGCTGGACTTCAGCCTACACCAGCCTACACCAACCAGACCTTTCTGATGATACCGCTGCTGCGTACTTTGATATTTTATACTAACACTGTTTCCTATCCAGTGTCGATCAGAGGAGGATGGGTTCCCCTTTTGAGTCTTGGTTCCTCTCAAGGTTTCTTCCTCTTGCTCTTAGTGAGTTTTTCCTTGCCACTGTCACCACTGGCTTGCGCATGAGGGCTCAGACTCGGATTTTTCTGTAAAGCTGCTTTGTGACAACAACTAAAAAGTACTATATAAATTTACTGACTAACTTTGACTTGACTTGACCTTGTCGGCTGCTTCGTAGGGTCAAAAAATGTGTTAACAGGTTAAAAAAACTGTGCCGTTAATAATTTAACTTTGACAGCCCTAATTTGTTTGTATTTATTGCTTACTATTTGGGTCACACTTTATTTTGATGGTCCTCTGTAGATGATCTACAGATACTTAAACTTTTAGGCTGTAGAAGAGCTCAGCCAGTTTACACTGAAGTCCCTGTAGTTACTGAATAATAGGCCTTAGTATGTAAGAAGCCTGGGATTTTCAGGGGTTCAGTTTTTAACAGATTTTCTGGTGGTACTCCATTGATTGTCAACATGTTTAGGTTAAGGGTTAGGTTAAGGATAGGTTTAGGTTTGGGGTTCAAGTTAAGGTTAGGGTTAGGTTTAGGGTTAGCGTTAGATATAATAGGATCTCTCAAATTCTGTCTGGAATCTATTACACTCTACCACACTTTACCACACTTAACTTTAAATTCAGTTTGGTAAATTAGAGCTGTCAAAGATAACATGATTAAATTATTAACACAGAAAAATGTTGTTATGCTGTTAACACGTTGCAATTAATAGATACAGTGGAGTCTGAGACTGCACTGAAGATCTGTTTTTTTTTTCTTTTTCATTTAAACCTGTAAATAAACAACAGAAGGTTTTGGAATCTTGAAGAATAAAAAAAATATGTTATGACAATTAAAATGAAGATATATTATTATTACTTTATTATATTAAAATTGAATCTTAAATCCTTGTACAAAAAGGTCAGATTTTTTTTTAAGTCTTATTCCTTCCTTTGAAACATATGTTTAGACAGCTCCCAGCTCTGTTTGATCTACTGATCAGAGGCTTTTGCACAAGCCTATGGAGTCCATGCAGCTTGAGTGCACAGTCATTAAAGCAAAAGAGGGACATACAGTACCAAATTCTAAGAATCTCTGCATTCATGTACACATGCAAAGATTTTACTTTTCACTCAAATTATTATGCTGATATCACTTGTAATGAAACACTTAGCATTAAATTAGAAAGTAATGCAAAACAGCAGCATTTTCACCAGTGGTGTTGGACTTTTTGGACCCCACATGGTTTTAAGTTGAATGTAAGTTAATGACAGACTGAACAGTTACAAAGCATTCTGTATTGTCAATTTACATAACCATAGCACCATTTTGGAAAGCTGTACATTTTACATAAGGATCCACATCACCAAGACAGATTACCTAGCCAATAGTTACCTAGCCAAAAGGTCCCTCTTGTAAGGTCTTGTAATGGTACTGTATTTCAGTGTGGCTATTAAAAGCAGTGGTAATGGAAAACTCTCGAGCTAAATTCATCTTTAGGTGAGATGCACTCATCAAAAGATCTCACTAGTATTTTTGGCCACTTCCTGTGGAGGCCCTCTAAGGAAATGCCCTCTAAGAAGCAAAACAGGATCCACAAATTAACTAAAAGGTTTAAAGAGGTAGAAAGGACAATGTCCACGCATATCACCTAGTTGTTATTGATTTTGTTTTTTCACTGAGCAGGTTCCTTTTTTTAAAAAGAAAAATGTTCTCTATGTGAGCATGATTGACATGAAACTTCCAACATATCATATTGATCCTAAATATAAGGAGATAAATGAATGAATGCACTACATTTATTTAATTTGATTAGAAATTTCTGGGCACCGCAAAGCCATTATAATAATTCTCATAACATACAGAAAGTACTACAATGAAACATTCTCGGCAGTTAAATCCCAGCAGTTAATGCATGCAATTGACCATGGGTATTAATATATATATATATACTTTAATAATATGTAAACACATAATTACAAAAAATAATACATAAAAATGAAAAATAAAAAAGAAATAGTTGCAAAAGGTGTTTTTGTTTTTTACCAATAGCACTTATTAGCAATTCTTTTTGTCATATTAATATGTAACTGGAAATCCTTCTCAAGTATTTTTGAACTTTGTTTTATGACACTTAATTTCTCTTATGAAATGATAAAAGTCAGCATGGCTCCATGGAATAACTTTGAAAAATGTACTGCTCATGCAAGTTAGTTCAGTTTCATTTGTTATATAATGGTCAAACCTGCACTGAATATGAATAAGAGGACATATTTTTGCAGATTTATTTGAAGACAATGTTTTGTCTAAAAAAACAAAACAAACAAAAACAGGCAATCTGACACAGGAAATGTGCAAAGGTTTGGTCAGTACATCACTCCTGTTACTAAACTGAAGAAAATTCTGATTATGTTGTATTAACTCTGCAGAACAACTATCAGTCCATAAAATTTAAATTCATGAACTTCTTATGCATTTTAAAAGTGATAATAAAAAAAGAATAATAGAAAACATTAATAAAGGATGATCACCATGAGTGTATTAAATCGAATTGCAGAGTGGTTAGTACAAAAATAAATCAATTTTTGTTTTTGAACATGTAAAAAGAAACAGGTAAAAATATGGTGTAGCTAAGATAAAGCTGATTATACTGTCTTGATTTAGATTTTTTGCAATAATGTTACTTTCTTTTCTTAAATCATTCCACCGTGAAAAAAAAAAAGACTTTATCACAAGGTGCAGCTTCACATATCTCCCACACACAGGAAATGAGCAAACGATGCTGAGAAAAAAAAAGCTGACAATGTGTCGTTCAGTAGGTTTTTTCTATGTGCTTTTAAACCACATCCCTGAGACTGGGGCGAGGGAGGCAAGCAAGGGCTGTGCATTCAGTTTTGCTTGTGTAAAATGTTCCAGTTAGGTATACATCACATGCTCACACAAGCCAGACTCAAAATACATATGACTTTCATTTTTGCTCAGGTTTGTTGCTTTCAGCAGGACATGTTAAGACAAACCTGCTCTGGAGATGGCATTTCAGATTGTTTGTTCACTTTCAGTTTGTTGGAAATGTGTCTCATTTAATGTTTTGCAACTTATAGCTGTCTTCAAATTTTTAAACCACCCAGTTGGTGGTTCTAGTTCTTAAAACTAACTAACTATATATATATAACAAATAATTACTGCCCAGATAAATAGCTTTGCATATCATTTTGACAGATGCCACATGAATATCATAATATATGTGGAATCACAATTCAAAAATCACTGGGATCACTGTTTTCAATTAAATACTAATAACATACAAAAGATCAATTTTAGAAATGGTTGAAGTTGTTTTATAATGAGGCTTCTACTGCTCATCAGGTTTAAAGTGATTAGTAAAAATTACCAAAAAAAAGCAAGATAATTTTAGGTGTGTCTATAATGATAAACTGATCACCTGGAATGCCTTGTACTTGGAACATGGTCACAATTTCTGGCAGATAATTTATTAAGAAAATACTACATATAAATAATTACAGTATATTTTTTGTCATTTAAAATTTTTGGTTGCTCCCCAAACCTTTTGTTAAATAAAACATCTTAAAATGCCTTTGGTGTATAGTATATAGTATTTCAACACACATTGTGTAAGATAAAATTGGATAAAATAAAAGCAATTGGTAAAATGGTTAAAAAAAATTTGGTGAGTTTTGTTGATTTTCTAATATGAAATAAGCATACATCCATTACAGAGAACACACTTTTGCACATTTTAATGCATTGTTTATTTGCTGAATTTAACATACTTATTTTTTTTTTCATGATAAACAAATAAATAGAAATTTTGTACTAAAATTTGCAGAAAATGCCACATTTAAGTTCAATCCCTGTGCTATTGCTTAGAAAATCAACAAAACGTAATTTGACTGGGGGTGTACATATGTATGTATGTATGTATGTATGTAAGACATGACTAACACAACTTGCAGTTTGCCTCACCTTCACAGAGTCTTCAAATTCCCATAATTAATACCAGAAATAAATGACAAATAATTCCTGGACTACTCTCTCATGGTTGCATGTACAATGGTCCTTGATTCTTTTTGGTGTTTGGAGCCTTTTTCCTGGGTTGGGGTAATGGTGGAGGTGATTCGTCCTCATCAACAGGTGGTGGTGGAGGCCGAATGCGCTGTTGGTTCTTGGCTCTGGACTGGGCCTTAGGTGGAGGTTCATCCACTTCATAGTTGGAGACTTCAGGATCTTCTTGGGGAATTGGAGGTGCTGGTTGACCCCTTGCGGTATGCTTTGATCTTTGTGGAGGGGTGTGGAAGCTGTTCAGCCTGAGCTCCTCTTCATCTGCAGTTAAGAATGGAGACAAGAGGTTCACTATTTGTCTTTCATACATCTTTCTCCTCATTACATCAAGATCAATGTAACTGAAATATATAAAAACCTGGACAACACTCATATAGTGAAATAGAAGTGACCTTTATCACAAAACATGAGAATTTTTTAACATATCCTCTACATGCTAGGAAACTTCTACTGTCTTCAATTACATACAGTGATAGCAATTTAGATAAACATGCCAACAGTATTACAAAGAATAATATAAGAATAAAAAAACAGTTTAAAAGCTTATAAACATGTATTCTGCACTGACTATTCAAACATCAGCAAATTATCTGCTTATATCTTCATGCTGTGCTGTTCCACGTTTTAGTAGGCTACAGATTACCAGATTATAGGAAACCCTATGACAAAATATGTTGTAGGCTGCACACACTCTACTGTCACTTGGAATATATACAAGTGTTATTTGTACTGCAGTGGAAGTGAATAATGGAGTAAATTTCACTTCTCATTCTATAAAAATTACTCAAGTGCATCTTTGCATGGACATAGAAAAGAAGTAAAAGAAAGAAACCCAAGAATCCAAAAATGGCTCTTAAAGAGCCCATAACCTATATTCTTTTTGAGGACCAAATTGAGTTATAATCTATTTTTACATAACCATTTATATTTGTTTCTTCGTACTGAGGCCTTTTTAAGTAATTTATGTTTTCATTGGCTGTGCATTGCGCTTTTTCTAGCCTAAAACAGTCCGAATAACTTTATAGCATGAATGGGCAGAGCTAAACAGCTGCAGGCTGAATAGGCGGATATATGTAAATACCACAGTTTTTGTGACATCACAAAAACAATTAATACAACACAGGCTGTTTCTGCAGTTTAGTTTCTACATTTGGGCTGTATGGACTGGGGGTGGGGAACCAAATATTTTGAAACTTCAAAATTGTTTACATACAGTTGTATGCGAAAGTTTGGGTGTCCCGGTCAAATGACATATTCTGTTTTGTTTTCTAAGTGAAAATAAGTAACACACCATCTACAGAGAACATATTTCTGCACAACTGAATGCGTAATTACTGTTCACTTGCTTATTCAACATAATTGAAAAAATCTAAAACAAAATTAAAAAAAAAAAATCTTTTACCATTATTCACATTATAAATAAAACACAGAAGACATGTAGGTTCATCAATGGTTTTGCATAGTCAATAAAGTGGTTATATTTGCATTATAGATATCGCAGCCCCTGTTATGAAATATGAGTCAGCGAGTTTGTCCACAATGACACATTTCACATCAAAACACTCGAAATGACTTTGTTTAAATTTCAATGACTGAATTACACGGAATTTTTGTAGAATTGGTGAAATTCTCCTTTCGAATGGCAATCTACATGCATACACATAAAAGGTGTTCATAAACTTTTTGTGTGCTTTTGTGATCTATTAGTATTGATTAGGTATCAGACGTTGACATCTGAATGGTTTACTGTCCTAGAGTACCATCTTATCTTCTTTCTGCCAGTTTAAACAAAATGTAAAATATCTTTATGCTTCATTTTGACATGTCAAGAGCCTTAGACATAGGTCTAAATTAAATATACATTTTTGATAGATTAACCACTTTCAACTCTTTGCCTGATCTGACTTAATCTTCCATGGCCAGACATGATCGTGTAGCAAGAACACATGTCTACAGACATGAATCATTTAACATTCGATCATGCATCATCATTTTGTAGTTCTGCACTGGTATCCAGATGAGCCCTGCGTCTAATAATTTTGGTCTATGGGAAAAAATATATTCTGTTTTTGAAAATCTAAAACCTATTTTGTTCAGAATTTCCTACCCCAAAAATCATCATGTCATAATTTGCCACCATATGAAACTGACCTGTTGACACACTTTCTGCAGTAACTGTTGCTCCTTAAATAAGTTGCAAGCTAAAATAATATGTTATGAAGAGATTCAAATATAGCAGCTTTGCAAGTTTTAAGAGAAGATGAAGGGAGAAGAAAGAAAATGAGTCCAAACAGCTGTGTTCTCTTTTGTAAAGGGAAAAAAAACAGGTCACAGTTAACCAAGATGTTAAGATGTAGATGGCAGGAAGCTCGGTGACATGGTTAGATATCTAAAAAAACATTTGACACATTGATATTCTAATGAGTCAGCTGAGAGAACACATTTCTATAAAAGTTTTTTTTTTGAGGGACAAAATAGGTGTGGATGGAATATGAAACCTTTGCTCTAACTAAAATCCCTGAGTGCAGAGGGCTTCTTGGAAGTCAGAGTACTTGTGGACCTACCATTTTTTCTTTTGTATATCAGTTATTTGAAATCTGCTTTTTCTTGTGACCACTTCCTTTATGCAAATGATACTGACATTTTGATGTCCCACAGCCGTATTGCTAGGTGAAAAGGCCCTTAGTGCAGAGTTTACATCCATCACAAGGAAATTTTTAGTTAACCTAGCCACTTGAATGTGGATCCAAATAGAACAGAAGAACTCCCATAGTTTTAGTGTGAAGAAATATTATACCGTGGCTGAAGCCTATCTATTAAAAGTGTAGTTGGAGACAGGTACTTCTTTGTCTCCAAAGGTACAAACCATGTAACTGTAGCCTCAAAGGTAGGACAATAGTCCTCAAGTCCAGTTATGCAACTTAAATGAGTTTTAAAGGGTTTTTTAAAATTTTTAAATAGAAAAGTGAAATAAAAAGCTTGGGGACAAGACAAAATATGGAGGGCATAGAGTCAATGCAAATTATTATGATACAATAATTTACCTAAAGATATTGAAGACATAATTCTGATAGTACCACCTCATGACAAGTGGTTTTTTAATTTTTTGTCTTCATTGTGTATTAGACAACACATTGATGCTAGATAATATTGCGCAACAATATTGTTAGCAAAAAAATTGCTCCCATAAATCATTAAGTCCACTTTTTGTTTAGTGGCTCCTACACTGTTAAAAAAAGACAGGTGTACCAGACAAAACCTGTTGATTAACAGTAAAAATCTGTTTTCTCAATGATGGTAAAAATCTTTAAAATAACAGAAATTTAATTTTCTTTTGTTTAGTGACTCCTACACTGTACAAAAAAAAACAAATCTGTGAAAAAAGGAAAAAAAGTCCGGCAGCAGGAGTGCAAGGCAAAATCCATTAATTAACAGTAAAAGTATTTTTTCTTAATGATGATAAAAATCTGTCCAATTACAATACTTTCATTTCTTAGAACTACCTGCCTTTACTGTAATTCAACAGTTTTACTAGTTAAAATTAACCTAAAATAAAAAATAAATCCAAATGTCTGTGAAATAAAGATGATTGTTTTCGTGAATTTAGTCTATTTCTGTAAATTAACAACAGCAGTGATAAATTACAGCATGGTTTATTTACGTGCACTTAAGATGATTAGAAATAAACTGTAGATCATAATTAATTCATATTATAAACATTTATAAGATTCAATGAACAAAAAGAATCTTGGTTTCCTATTTGTTAATAAATGTGTTAATATGTAGAACCTTCAGCTTATACAATTTCCCCCCAACTTGTTCTTTATGGGTGTAGTTGGGCTTCCACAAACTCAGAAATCTGTTTTGTGGAGCCCAGAAAGTCTGTGGTTAGGGGTTAGAAATAACTGTATGCCTGTATCCTTTGTTTTTAATTTTACTTTGATTTTTTAATTGCTTTAGTTTCATTTTTTCCTTTTTACATCAGCTCATCAGAATCCTATCCTAGACATCGAAAGCATATACTAATGGCCACACGAAAGCACAAACGACTAGCCTCCTTTTGAAGAAACAGTTTGAGAGGCCTTTACGTGCAACTTTCACTTCTGAGTAATGTTTAATAACAGTAGAAAACAGAAATATTAGGGGAAATGTTGATCATTTTACGAAATCTGAGCTCACCTCGCAGCCGTTTCTCTCGTCGTTTACAGCTTTGACATGCACAAGTCACCAGCACAATCATCAACAACAGTACAAGACCTCCTCCAGTCGCTAAGATGCCAACCATAATCCGTAAGTCAAAGCCAAAGAGCGTTTTTCTTCCCAATATACCTTCCTGTATACCTGTGCAAGTGCAATAACATTTATTCAATAATACACAATCAATTAATCAATTAGAAAATAAATACATGCATACCAAATGAATGTAAACATGAATAACAGAATATATGAGAAAAAGAAACAACAGCTAAAAACTGTATAACACAGACTTAAGTGAATCATGTATAGTACTGCTCAGTTTTTAGTTGTGATATAGACTGTGAATCAATCAAATTTAAAAAAGATGGGTACTGAGTTTAAAAACCTACCACAAAAAAGAATGTAACTTGACATCTTAAATTTGTTGACAGCTTTAGCTGCCTCTAGTGTATTGGAGTACATTTAATAATATTAGAACTGAATATATAAAGGCACTGGACAAGAATTACTTTATTGGCTTTCATTATGCTTTGGGTTGTACAACACTCTCAGGAATCCTAATAAAATCATATTATATGAACCTTCAAGAGATTTAAGATTAAAAGTGCATGAAACCAACATACTTACATTTTACATGTATTGCATCACTTTTATGACTTTTAACTGGTTTCTTCACCGCACATTCAAACTTCTCATCATTCTTTACTTTTGGAGAGAAGGTTTGTTTATCCTCTCTTGTTTGAACTCCATTGTGGTACCAAATGAAGGTTTGATCTTTCTCGTTCTGAACATCACATTTGACGAGAACTTTCCCCTTGTCACATGTGATATTCACTACTGGCTTGGGGAGCATTTCTGGTAAAAAGAAAGACAGCATTCTGGTCATATTCTAAATCATTTAAACACCAAGTGATTAAGCAATGCATGAAAAAAAATGCTATGAAAGTGACAATAAATTATATATTGTCTACATCTGATCCATTAAAACATAAAATTACTGCATCAGAGATGCAAGTGGAAAATATATTTCCGAAATCTTCAGAAGGTTGTAAAACATCTGTGAAATGGAATTTCAGTAAAAGAGCATTCATAAATGTCTTACCATGAACGCAGAGCATGGTCGTTTTTAATATTTTAGCCATGCCTTTACTATCATACACATCCACTTTATATGTGCCATTATGTTTCTTCTCTGCATCTTGAATGATAAGCTCCCCATTTTCAGTCACATCTGCAATGTTTTCTTTTGCCTTCTTTCCATTCTTTCTCCTAAATATAACTTTGTTTTCATGTGTCCACTTTATTTCATCATCCAGATTCAATGGCTCAAAATTAAGTGGAATGTTTAAAGTATCCCCAACTGTAGCGGTGAGGTTACATGCATTGCAGTCTGTGGAGAAAGATTGTAGAGACATTTTATACACTCACACACACAAGAGATATTTGAAATTCTTATCAAAAACCTCAATGTGTGGTATTGCTAAAACTTAGAGAGAAAAAAATTTGATTTCCTTTTGGACCTAAAGACTTTCTTAAAGACATATTTTTCATCTTGGAAATAAGACGAATCCCAAACATAGCTTTCACAAAGGATACAAAAAAATATATGACATGAATAACCCAGGTAATAATATAAAATAATACAGACCCAATACAGAAAAATAAAAAATAATAAAAAAATGGTCAAAAAAAGCAAAGCAGACAAAAAAGTAGTCATAGTCCCAAATTTAGATCCTGCAACAATGAGTAATCAACATGTTAACACAAATTCAGACATAATACACTAAAATGACTTTAAAACAAAGAAAAAAATCACAACTTACCCTCAATGTGGAAAATAATCAGGGTGCAGAAGAATAACAGTGTGACACCACCTTTGAAGTTCATTGTTCTTCTAAAGCGTTTCACAGACAAATGGAGGAAACAGTTTCAGTTTCCTGTATTTGAATTGGAGGATGTCTGTAAATGCAAAAAGTAGATTTTGTCCTAAAAGCAGCTCTCTGCTGCCTCCACTGAATGTGGTAGCTTTACACTTGGCTTGTCTTATCTGACAAACCTGGCATAAATGATACAGGTGTTTTACTGATAATGGCATTCTCTTTTCCTATCTCCCCTCCTAATTTTTGTTTAAATATGACAGAAGCTATGTGAAAATAAGTGGATTTACACACTTGCACATGACCAGAAATTTCAAAGTAAGGGAAGATCATCTATTCAACTCAGTCTAGGAGTCTGCATACATATGTGAGAAGTCTTGAAAAGACATTCATAAAAAATATGGATGACTTACATCTTGCTTTCTGCAATTACAGCTGTGTTTTGAAGACAGTGCCATTTGAGTTTTACAGACTAATGATAGACTGAACATGTTAAACACTTTCTGGATTCATAGCAAGTGCAGTTACTCCTAGAGTGCCCTCACTTTTGTCTCTGCATCTTTATTCATAGACAAATGCCTTCCAATATATGAATGGATAAGCATTCATGTTTGTTGCAGTTCAGAGATTTTGTTAAAAGTAGGCTGAAAGATTTATAACCAAATGAATGCAAATGAAAAATGCAGGCTTACTCTAGCTGTCCCACAAAACACATTGCACTACAGAACAAATCAAAGCAAAATCTGTTCCTCATTGTTAACAAAAGAAATGAAATGATTTTTACTTTAGGAGAGCAGGCAGGGGCTTGTCTCTGCAGACACTGAGTAGCTTCAGTTTTCTAGAAGTATAGTTTACTCACAGCTAACATGGATCTTTACTACCAGTTGTTTTTTCTCCATAATACAGCATATTGATGTGTTCAGCAACACGTTCTTTGATTCATGATAGCATCTTTATTCAATTAAACTGCCTAATTTCCAAGGGCTTTCTTTACATGACAAAAGCCACTTTATAATTAAGACACTCACTTTAATTTCAAGAATACACATCAACGCAGAAAGCACACAGTCATGATGCAAGGCCGTCATAGCCTATACTTCATTAACCCTGACACTGACAATTACAGTGGGATAATTCAAACATTTTACTCCATAATGAAGTCCTTGTAAACAATGTTGAGCTTGAATCAAGCTTAAAATCAGAATGCACTTGAGTGCATGGAAATGAGCCCTGAGCAGGTAGAGAGGTTAACCGATGTGTTGCTTGCCCTGTAGCTCCAGTCCAAAAGTAAAGAAGCAAACTACAGATACCAAACATGTTTTGGCTGCTTGGCTACATTGGGGGGAATCATGTGAATTTGATTTTTTTTTCTTCTTAGGACAACCCCACTTTCTTCCTAAGATTGTCAGAAAAGAGTTTATTGGCCACAAGAGGTCAACAAATCTTATTACCTGGGGTATGACTAGACCATACCAACGTTAGGGACTGAGCTTATGGCCCATTTTACACGCTCACATGGTTACACAGCCTATCCACTAAATTCCAGAGGGCCTCCAATATAGACTGTAAAAAATTATTTACCAGTACAAAAAAACAAAAATAAAAAAAAGACAATACTTACTGCCTGAAAAATAATTAACTGCATATACTGGCCACTGAATTAAGTGCACCTCCTTTTATCTACATTCTTTGTCCATTTTATCAGCTCCACTTACCATGTAGGTGCACTTTATAGTTCTACAATTACAGACTGGAGTCCATCTGTTACTCTGCATACTTTGTTAGCCCCCTTTCACCCTGTTGGACCACAATGATCTGAACCACAGAGCAGGAATAATTTGGATGGTGAATCATTCTCAGCACTGCAATGACACTTACATGGTGGTGGTGGTGTGTTTATGTGTGTTGCCATGATACGAGTGGATCAGACACAGCAGTGCTGCTGGAGTTTTAAACACCACAGTGTCACTGCTGGACTGAGAATAGCCCACCAACCTAAAATATTCAGCCAACAGCATCCAGTGACAACTGATTAAGTACTAGTGGATGACCAACACAACTGTGCAGCAACAGATGAGCAGCTGTCTCTGACTTTACATCTGCAAGGTGGACCAACAATGTTGGTGTGTCTAATAGAGTAGACAGAAAGCGGACAGTGTTAAAAACTCCAGCAGCACGGTTGTATCTGATCCTTTAGGAGAGCAGGCAGGGGCTTGCCTCTGCAGACACTGAGTAGCTTCAGTTTTCTAGAAGTATAGTTCACTCACAGTTAACGTGGATCTTTACTACCTCACCTCTGATTAGAAAGGTACAGTAAACTCAGGTTGTTTTTTCTCCATAATATGGCATATTGATGTGTTCAGCAACACATTCTTTGATTCATGATAGCATCTTTATTCAATTAAACTGCCTAATTTCCACGGGCTTTCTTTACATGACAAAAGCCACTTTATAATTAAGACACTCACTTTAATTTCAAGAATACACATCAACGCAGAAAGCGTCAAGAATACACATCAACGCAATATCTGATCCACTCATACCAGTAATCATATATTGTACCATATTCTTTACTAACTTTTCATCATACATTGTTTTTTTTTATTAATATCCATAGCTTCTAAACCGCTATTAGACCTTAAGTGTTTCAATTCATATATAAATTCTGTACAGCCATAATTTATAGTTAACAGGTGAACTGTATACCTTTAATTTTCAAACTTGCATATATTTAAAAGCAAATACTTTTGTAATTGAACTCAAGTAGAAATATGAGGACTCAATATTTCACCACAGGTATTTCTACATTCACTCAGTTACAAGATTTCTGCACTTTGTTGTATTGGTTTTGGCGAAACAGCAATCCTACAGTTTTGTTAAGTTGTATAACATACATGCAAGCATTTCAAGCAGCTCTGTAATGAAAGAGATTGAGAAGGAGAATTAATTTCATTTGTTCAATTTTCAATGACATATTATAGACTGACATTGTACAACAGCCAAAAAAAAAATAATAATAATAATCATACACAACATGTTATGCTGTTCTAACAAAAAAATAAATAAATATGTGAATATAATGAATAGTGAATAGTAACAGTAAATATGAGTTAACACATCCTCTACAGAAAACTAACATACTGGAAAAAATTAAAACATAAAATGTGGTCTGTGCAAAAGTTATGGTACATTCTATATTTATATTTTTCTATAATGTTAACCTCAGCAAATAAAGATAACCTGTGCAATAGAAAAAAATCTGCAGAAAATGCTATATTTGAGTATTCTGTGTAGAGCAAGGGTTCCCAATCCCAGTCCTGATGACCCAACACTACACACATTTTTGTGTTTTGTCTCATCAAGCTCACCTAACTCATTAACTAACTAACAAGTGCCTTGTTGGCTGGGTCAGGTGTGTAGAGTAGAAACCAGAAAAGGGTGGCAGAGGAAATGGTCATCAAGATTGTGATTGGGAACTCCTCCTCTAGACTACTCAAGAGCTGACAATATGATATTTAAATGGTTTGATTCATTAGTTGACTCCATTCATTCATTCGTTAGACAATCAGATAATTTCATTTGCCCACAGATTGCTCTGTTACAACAACGTATAATATATAAGAGCATTTAAAGCACAAAGAATGCCTGAATTATTGGCAATTCATTCTCATTCACAGTTTTAGCTTGTGGTTCCTAGCCCTGCCCGACACATAATCAGATAATTACCAAACTATTCAGGTCAACATCACCTGAATAAAATATTCACAGTGCCAAAAGGTGATATATCCAAACATTCACAGGCAACTGAAGTAGGTCCTGCAGGAAGAAAGGTTGTGTTGAATGAAGTATCTGTCCTGAGTGAGGTGGTTGTCCTGGCAAACAAAACTCTAGTCCTGGGGGATGAACTAGTTAAGCTGATAAACTTGCCATTTCTATAATGTTGAGATAAAGGTGCTTTATGAGTGCATTTTTTGTTTAAATAGCTCTATGTACCATGGCAGCAGTGAAAATCATCTCTTTCCACAGCAGTCTTGACCAGAACCAAATACTATGTGCTATACAACAGATAGAAGAAAGGATCAATGTTTATTTAAAACATTTATCAAAATGTCAAATACCTACACACACTCACCTCTATGTTCGACTGCCCTCACTGTTCAGGTGAGTCATTACCTGACCATATTCTTTAGGCTCGTATAGTTCTTGGCAGCAAAAGGAGAACTGGACTAGACTGTCACTGCAGCATTACAGTCAAGACTCTAACTGACACCTCTGTGATATTCTGCAGAGAAAACACATTGAGCATCTACAATTCTTGGCTAAATTTTGTAAGACAAAGAGAAAAGAGACAAGACATCTCAAAATTGTTTAGAAACAATTATTCAAACAAAAAAAACGCACATGACAACAGTACAATACAGGAGGGTATTCATCTGAACATCATTTAAGAACATGTATACCCCACATCAATTTTAATAATGTTAGATGGTGTTTGCTAACTTTAACAATGTTTCACTAACATTGAGCAACAACAGCTGTCTGGTAAATCATGTGATACTCTAGATGAGTTCAGTCTTATCTGCAATGGGCAGGTGTGGCTGCAAGATTTTCATTCCCAACAAGCTGAAACTCACTTGATTATACTTGTTTAATCAATTGTTCTTAGTCTGCAAATAATTGATCATGTGTGCTTCTAGTGCCCCTACTTGTTTGGAATGAAAACCTCCACACCACTCTTTGAGTATAAGACTGGACATCCCTACTCTAAACTAGATCAGGGGTGTCTAACCTTAGTCTAGGGTTACAGCACTGCAGAATTCAGCATCCTCTCTTATTAAACACGTGTTTACCTCATCACTAAAACTTTTCAGAGTTGAATCTCATTTTAGAAGACAGAAAACACTGACCTGTGCCAGGTTGTGACCCTCCGAGACCTGAGCCGGAATCCACAGAGTTAGGATACTTAGCCTGCTAAGTAAGTAACTAGCTAACAGTGATTTGGGTTGGTTGTAAATTTAACAAAGCAAATGATAACTATGTGGTTATGTCCTCCTGAAAGAACCGTGTTGTATTTCAGGATTTATTATTTATAGAACCCTAAAATTTTTGAGAATTTTTTTTTGGTATTTTGGGTCAATTACAATTACAATTGCAATTATAAAGTATTTACATGAGACAGTCACACATGCCATATGTTTTCAGGAGACCCTGATCCAGATATGCCATTATTTGACATGTAAATGCTAACAGAAATTTGATGTCTTTGATATCTACAAAAATGTACCTAGTGCCTGCAAAAGTTTGGAATTCTTTGCTTATAGAGATCTTGGAAACAAGATGAACCTCAGATACCTTTTCAGAAATTGTTTGTCTGGAGTGTCTGTGAGCTAAAAGTGCAAGAATATTGATGGTGATTCATTCTATTTGTTATTATGAGTAAAACTAAACAATTAGTGTAAGGCAGCCATGTTTTTTATTGATTTTCTGTCCTCTTGGATTCATGCTGAGTGCTAAAATTCTGATACACAGCAAGACAGGCTTTATTTTTAATTACAAATTGAGTTGCATATCTAATATTGGATATTTTTAATACTTACCCGTATTATATTACCCGTATTATGTTATATATAGCAATATACTGTGTATGGAGCAATTAGGTGGCAGTAATGATTCACATCCTTTGGATTTGGGGTGTAATGCAATAACATCTTTATTTTAATTTAAATAACATTTTAGCTACATAGTACAGCAAGGTGTCAGCAATCATGCACAGCATTTGGATTTTGGATGTAATGCACTGAACTCTTTATTTAAATTTATATGTATTTTGAACTTCAATAGTATTACACACACACACACACACATATATCATCTAAACCGATTATCCTTCTGGGCCGCAGGGGGATGTTGGAGCCTATCCCAGCTGTCATTGGGCGGAAGGCAGGATACACCCTGGACAGGTCGCCAGTCCATTGCAGGGCAGACAGACAGACAGACAGACATATACATCCACACATTTTCACACCTAGGGGTAATTTAGCCTGTCCAATTAGCCTGATCGCATGTCTTTGGACTGTGGGAGGAAACCGGAGCACCTGGAGGAAACCAAATGATTGCATTTTAGCTGCATTATATACAACACTAAAATCAGTTGCATTACATCCAAAGGTAAAATCCAAAGGTTATCATTGCTGACACTTCTTCCTGCACCAAACACAGCTGATTTTAGTGTTGTAAGTAATGCAGCTAAAATGCTGCTAAAATTCAAAATGGAAAATATAATGCAAAGAATTTCATTCAAAATAAAATGATGAATCATCTTTGCCATTTATTTGCCCTTTTTGTAGTTGATTTTAGCATTTTATTTAATGTGGCAGAAATTGTGCAATTGAAAAAAATGTAAGGAATGTATTTAATTACATCCATATTATTTTTTAAATTAACATAAAATATATATTGTATTACATCCATGAGCCGAAGGTTGTGAATCGTAAGTGCCACCTATTTGCACATTTTACAGCTGGTTTTAAGATGGTAGGCTATTTAATCCAAGAGAACTGCAGATGTGCTATTCTATCTCCAAGTGGTCTATTTGAAGGTGGCCACTAACTTGAAACACTGAATGTTTGGTAGATTTATAACACTTTTGAGTTACAGTTAGATAATTCAACTTAAATTAAATAAGGCAGATTCTCTTCTACACTCATATTTGATTGAAAATAACCTTTTTAAACAAACGTTCTAGATGATTACGAATCTATTGAACCTTAAAGACTATAAATCTCTAATGAATATTGAACATCCAACATCAAGCTTTATATCAACACAGATGTAATATCACTTTTTATAGGTAAGATATGCTCACTGTTGTTAAAATACGTATTGCTAAGTACATTTGTTAGTTACCGGTTAATTAAATGTCCCTTTTCAAAATTTAAATGGTGTGCAATTCCCCCTATAACTCAAAGCAAACAACACAAATAATCAGATTAATGTAAATGCACTGAAATGATTTAAAGGAAAACAAATGCATGTGCACAGATGTAGGCGGGGTCTACAAACGCATGCATTTTATTCTGACTGGAAATGTACTCTCAGTTTTTCGGTATTAACACAAAAAGAGGGGTGTATGTTAAAAGTCATCCAAACCACAAAAGAAAAGGAGTGCATCACTCTCTGTTGTCGTATTGTCGCAAATATGTAAGTCTTTACTGGCTATCATAGTCCATTCAAAAGTTATTAGTGGCGAAAACACAAATATAACTCTCCCAGCTAACTCCTCTGCTCGACATGGACACGTCTTGCTTTAACCGGTCAAAGTGACTGATGTAGTTTTCAGCTAATCAAAAGAGATGGTGGAAAAAACACCGACTTCCATTCTGCAGACCAATCATGGAGTTGGCCACTCCCTTTCTCATCCCTGGCCCAGGGCTGGTTTAAAGGGAGCCTGGCCACTTCTTATTTCTCCCAGAGTTCAAAATCACTCAAATATAACAGTGTTGGTAAAATCTTTTATGCTGTTCGTGTTCACAAGATGATGCATTCTTCTATATAAGAAAAGCTAAAAAAGGTACCCAACTAGGAACCCATCAAGTTATAACTTGATGATAACTTGAGCCGGGTCTGATGAGCACAGGTCACAGTTGCTGTCACACTCATCTCATCATGTTATTAACACCTACATGTTGCAGCAGCAGCATCAACACCTACATCTCGCTCACAATACTATACTATCTACAGTCAACTACATCTCACCCACAACACACAGTGAAGAACAATGTGTGCACTGCAGCTTGACACTAAAAACCAGGGTGCATCCCTGACTTAAAGTTGTTTCCCTGTTTTAAAGTTTTGAGCTTCCCCAAGTGTGCCAAGCTCCATGACTCACAGGATACAAATGAAGATGAGATACCGTAATATCCTAGGCTACGTCATGTGGTTGTCAGTTTGCTTGTTTTTGTCTTTGTCCTATTGTCTCACATTTTTTTCTTTCCAGACTGAGGAAGTAAGAACCCTTGCTAAGCTATGCTGAATAGACCTAAAGGCTCTCAGACAGCTCTAATTATTTGTGGGTATTTGAATAAATGTAAGACACTATATGCTTCATAGGTTTTAATTAAGATATATAATGGGCTGAATTTCAATTAGGGATAAAGTGGCAAATTAAACTTTCATAAACATGACATTTTGTATTGGCTCATAGTTGGCGCATTGTGACCACTTTTGGACAATGTTCCAAAGATATTTCCAGCAAGTGTGTTCATTTCGGCATAATGTGTGGCATACACCAAGAGAATGGCATAGCCTTGGATGCTTGACCCCTACAGTGAAGGAGTCAGAGTCTTTGTTATGCTGTGAGGGCATTTTGCTGGTAGGATTTGGGTAAACTTGTCTTCTTAGATGGCAGGGTCACTGCCCAATCACCTTACGTCTCATCCAGGATGACAATGCCCCCAACTGCAAAGCCTGAGTCAGTCACTGAATGGTTTGATAATTATGAAAATGATGTAAAACATATGTTACTGGCTTTGCAGTCACCATATCTCAATCTAATTAAACACCTACAGATTTTGGACTGATTTTGGACCACACTCTCACCCACAATTATCAAAGCAATTGAGGAAATATCTCTTTTTCAGTCGCTTAACGGACTGTGTGAACAATTTTGCAAGAATCCACTGAGCAGCCAACTGTACAATAATATTTGGTCTGTTAAAACGGGTGGAGAATGTAAGGATAATAATGACTGTATTTCCAATGTGAGTCACCTTCATGTGGACTTATATATATACCGTTGAATTAAAGGTGGCAGTCTGCACTTTAACAGCCATTGTTTTGTTTCAAACCTACTGTGCTAAAGTACAGAGGCAAAGCATTGTATAAGCAACACTGATGTGTGCTGGTGATACTGTAGCTTTTTATAATATTTAGTGTATATAATTGTTCTTTTGCTTTAATTTTATGTTTCAACTGGAATATTAGAATTAGCATTTTAGTTAATTAGTTTTTAGCATTAGTTAATTTGTTCCTCTATTAGTCATTTACCTCTGTCTTTAGGTATAAGCCATTTTCTTTTGTAACCAACAGTGATCTGCATGCTTGCTTCTTCTATCAATAGTCACCTTCTCCCAGGCTCTGCTAGAACATCTCATGTTGATCTGAGTCAACATGAAGTATGAGAATACATGAAAAATACCATTTGATTTTACTTTCACATTTCACACTAAAATATCCTGCTCTTCGTTTCTACTCTTCTACTGTAAATAAGATATCCCAGGAATTTTGAGGGAGCGAAGTTCTACTCAATTCCTGAACTAAGATATAAGAGGAGAGATGTAGAATCTGGATTAAACAGTGTTAGACCTCATTACCAATTAAACCTACAACAAAAAAAATTCACAGAAACAGGCTATGGCACATCTGCTGAATATTCAAACTACAGATGCATAATCATGGGCGACATTTGAGACTCAGCGTTACGTAAGGGAGGCTAGCCTAACATACTAGTATAAGTATAAAAGTATAAAACCTATATTTAGCAAATAACCTATATTTATCCAAGTATGAACGATGTCGTACCTTAGGCTGGGCGTACACTACACGACTTTTTAAATCTTAACAGATTTCTAAAAGATCACATGACACAAACAAAGCTAAACTTACTAGACCGGACCTGTTTGTGCTTTTATGCGTAGCGATTGCGCAAACTGGGGATTAATATGGGGTTGAGAAACTCTGGTATTACCGTGATAGCTGGAGAAATGCTTCACCACAAACTGGCGGCTGAGCTGAAATTGTAAAAAGAGTGCTTTGCCGTCTGGATCCAAACATTATTAACATGATAACGGCTCGTATCTACCTGTATTTTACACGCAGCTCCTCTGTCTCCGTGCTCCGCTGTTCATGCGCATCTCTTCGCCTGTCTCTCCGCTCTTCTAGCTCTCTGATTGGCTGTTGTTTGAATCACTCGTTGAGTGAATCTCTGAACTTCTCACACTACAGGACTCGTAAACGTTTTGAGTCGTAAATATCAAACGTTTGATAATCAGAGGGCTAAAGATTCACTCGTTTCTCCTCTCACACTAAAAGAAAGACATCTCTGTATTCGTCTCCTCTTTGGGAAATCCATAGCAACGACAAACAAATGCCTGGTCCGCGTCAGTGTGTGTTTTAGAGCCGAGAATGTTGTTCAATGCGATTATTCTTTCCACGTCATTTTCCGGAGAAGGGTCTGGCTGCAGACATGCACTCTCAGCCTGACATGCACCGCCAGCCTATTGATGACGTCAGTGCACGCTCTGCCACGATAGTGTTTTTGTCGGTTTTACGAGGAAAAACAGCGAATCGCGTACTGCTGGGCAACAAGAGTTACACTGAATGTATATTAACGTTGCCATACTGATAATAAGGTAATTAAATATGGAAACCGGAAAATAAAACCGACCACGACGATAAGACATGAATGTTGGGTTTATTCGCAGAAAAAACAAAAAGGCTACTGAAACTCATGAAGCCAGGCTGAAGACGATTAGAGCCAGTTATCAAAAACTGTAATATTGATAAAATAGAACTCGTTAAGGGTTCTAGGAAGTTGTGACAACGTACTGTCAACATATCGATTACTTTTGCTGTCTCGTCAACGTTGTCACAACCTCCTAGAAAGTTGTCAGACAACGTTCCTAACTTTCTGAGTAATTACATTTCAGCGTTGTGCCAATGTAGAGAGCACCATGCAGACAACGCTGTGGGCACCAAAACAGTACGTTGTCACAACGTAACTGTGTTTGCTGCGCCGTTATGAATAAAACCTTATGGTTTTGCTTCCTAACGGGAATTGGCTTGATGGTTGCCGTTAGAGGCCATTAGGAAACGATCAAATGTATCTGGAATCAGTCCCAAAACACCTGATTAAACGATCAGAATCCACAGATAGCGACTACTGAAAACCACTAGGAACCAGCAGACACTTTTAATGGGTTCTATGATTTTTTTTCAAAAGGGAGGTACATTTAATGAAACTATCTAGCCGTGTTATGGCCTAAAAATGGATTAAATGATGATATCGCTAAGCAGCAGCAGCCAAAAGTTACCGTGCCTTTGGGCTGCTTCTGCCGTTGTGCACGTGACGTCACTAGGGCTGAGAGTGCATGTCAGGCTGAGAGCGCATGTCTGCAGCCAGACTCTATTGTGGCATTTTCCTGAAACGGATCACAGATTTGTGAATTGTTTTGTCCAGCACATCAACATACAATTCCTTGTAGTAACCCACAGCAGAGCCAGCATCTGATCTAGTCGCTGTCACCTTGTCGCTTACATGAGAGGCGTTATAAATGAGGAGACCGTCCACTGATTGAAATATGAATGGGACGCTCGTAACGCTCAACTTTCCTATAAGGACTTTGTTAACATGGCTCAGTCGCGCTGTCCTACTACGCATGCGCTACACTGGCCTGAAACCGCTGGAGTGAAACTGCGGGTGTAAATCTGCGGTTCTGCTGTCAGACCCAGAGAACATGTAAGTGGAGAATTACCGTAATGTCTTCCGGATTTCTCAAACGCTAGAGGGAGCTCGCGAGCGATTCCAAAATGAATGGGTTAAATGGAGCATAGTTTATAAATGCTTAAACATTTTTAATGTAAAAAGAATATATTCGTTTTCTAGACACTGAACAGCATGAAACATTTTAACACCGCTGTTATATTTTTAAGAGCTTTTAAGTTCGAATTATATGAGTTTAAAACGGCGCCTCATGTACATCCATGACGTCTTTGAGCGCAAACAGCCAATGAGCTGCTCCGCTCGCCAACCAATTAACGCTCAGTAGTAGTAATACCAGTGTTCTGCTGCCCAAAACCCGTTTCAATAGTACATTGCACTACATGAAAACTAATTGCATCAGAATGCAGGCTGCCCCCTGGTGTCATCGAGAACAGTCTGTATACATAGCAGATAGTTTTGGCAAATGTTAATATTGCATAACTAAAGTGAATTGATGAACATTTTAGAAAATGGAAAAATGGGAAAAATGCCCCCCCTTGCCCCCCTGCCAAATGTTGCCCATACATATAACCATACATTTACCTTCCCTGCAGTGCTCTTTCATCTCATTATCCGCACTGATCAATATTTGATGAGGCTTTTCCCTTGTGTGCTTTAACCTCTGTAAGCTTTAGCCTCTGTCTTGATTCTTTTAGCGCTGCCAAAAGACACAAAACACAATACTGCCATTGGCTGTGCTTCTATTGGAGCTCACAAGTGTGGCATGCAATAGTGCCCTACAGAGAGGCTTATGGGAGACACACACCCTTAAAAAGAGACTGCTATTGTTGTTGGTTGTTTGTAGTTTAAGATGTGTTATGCATTGCTTGTGTTATTCTGTGTTGGAGTGTGGGTTTAGTTTTGTGGGTTAGTACTTTAACTGTGAAGTGGAAATGTATGGCTTGTCGTGACCTCAATGCTATTTTTGTGCTTATGTATGTGTATCATTTCTGCTTTGTTCTGAATAAAGAGAGCATTCTGAAGCAGAAATTATGGCCTCACCTCAACTCTTCTTCTGATTGACGCCACAATATTTTACGTTTTACCTTATGATTGTAATGGGTTTTTTATTGCGGTAAATATATGCTCATCCCAAATTTGATGCATGCGAAACATCCCCAAAAAGCTGGGACAAGAGCATGTTTAATATTGTGTTACATCACCTTTCCTTTTAACAAAACTTAATAAACATTTAGGCATTGAAACTGAAAAAAACTGACTGAGTTTTGAAAGCAGAATATTTTGCCATTCTTCTGTTATTTAAGTCTTCAGCTGTCTGATCCTTTATTGTTGTCTTTTGCACATATTTTCACTTTCTGATTATGCAGCCATGCTGTTGTAACACATGGAGAATATGGTTTGGCGTTGTCATGTTGAAATAAACATGGATGTCACTGAAAAAGATGTCATCTAGATGGCAGCATATGTTACACAGTGTTACCGGTGCCTTCACAGATTTGCAATTTAATCCCTTAATACCCTCCTATACCATCACAGGCCCTGGCTTTTGAACTTTATACTAGTAACAATCTGGATGGTCCTGTTCTTCTTTGGCCCAGAGAACACAACATCTGTTATTTCCATTAATGATCTGAAAGGTTGACTCATCAGACCACGGTCCATTTCAGATGAGCTTGAGCCCAGAGAAGTCATCAGCATTTCTAAACGCTGTAGACATATGATATCCACTGTGCATAGAACAGCCTTAACTTGCATTTGTGAATGCAGTTTATTGACAATGCTTGGTCAAAGTATTCCTAAGCCCATACAGTGATATCCGTCACCAAAACATGCTGGTTTTTAATGCAGTGCTGTCTAAGGGGTCGAAGGTCACAGGCATTCAGTTGTAGTTTTGGGCCTTGTCCTTTGCACACAGAGATTTCTCCAGACTCTGTGAATCTTTTAATGATTTTTCGCATTTTTTGCAAAGTGGTGAGCTTCAACCCATGCTTGCTTATAAAGCCCTTGGCCTTTCCTGCATGCTCCCAAGCATGACTGCTTCACCTGTTTAAGAGGTTTTTTTGAATGTTTCACAGTGTTTCTAGTCTTGGATTATGTTACAGTGATCAATTTCAGAATAAGCATATATTGACAGAGAAGTTCATAAAACATTAAATATTGTGTCTTTGTACTGTTTTCAGTGTAGTACAGGTCAAAGCAGATTTATAAATCACTGTTTTCTGTTTATATTTGCATTTTACCTTCTGTCCCAACTTTTTTGGAATTGGGTTTGTACAGCTGTTTGTGTCTGACTGGGAAAGAAGTGTGTGGTGACCTGGGCCAATTGTCTTCACCAGCATGTAAGAGTAACAGTACCAATAACTTATTTTGAAATATTGCAAATGTAACTGTTCATCATGTCTGCAGCCACAAAGGTCTTAATATAAGCAGTTTGTTCAAATAATATAACATAACTATAATACTAGAATATCTCATATTAGAATATCTCAAAGTACCTTTACTTTTATGTACATTTAAAATATATATATTTTTTTTACTTTAACTCAAATAGAAATGTAGAGGACCTCTACTTTCACTCTAGAAATATTTTATGAAGTACTGGAGTACTGGAGTTTTTTTGTCCACCACCAGTTTTGGCTGCAGAATGTTGTTGCCCTATCTTTTGTTTTATCTGTTACATCTGTGAAGTGCAGCTAAAAGAGATATATGTGTCCTGTTACCTTTGAGCTGAAAGATGGCAGTGTTGAGCTACTGAAGGCCAGAGCTGCTTAACAATCTTGCAGTAGGAAGAAACTGTTACTGTAATAACCATTTGGTCTAAAAACACATGACTACAATCATGTCAATTCTTTTCTCTTAAAGAATTTAAGTATATATATCCAACAATGTATCTGTGTGTTCTGTGATACAGAGCGTTATTTTATGTAGAGTAAAAGATTTTTTTATGAACCTGACTGGTTTAATCCATTTGTTAGCTTAGTTAGGTCCAAAGTCTCACTGCTTAGCTTAAACTAGGCTACATCATACCTTGAACTCAGAGGAACATATGGACAAAAGCCAAGAGTGTTTAATAATTAACCTCTTCTGGCACAGATTTATACTACTTCTACTTCTTCACTGAATTGATTACAAACGCGATTTCATGACAGTACATGTGATTACGCATGTGGTTGTGACAATACATATGATTACTAGTAATGATCACATGAGAAACAGAACAAGTTATGTTGAATTCCAGTAATGCTGATCAACCTTGTGTGAATTTGTATATGATAAACCATACTTTATTCTACTATTTACACTGAGACAGTACATTAAAACCTTACACCACCATTTAGAAGTCTTTGGGTAGTGTATCTATCTCTTGTCATTTCGATGTGTTGTTATTTTATTTAAAAATGAACAATGTAGATTGGAATACCAAAGAGGTATTTGACGGGAGTCAAATAATGGGAGTTACAACAGAATATTCAGGGCCCCTTTCGAGTGAATCTCCCTGTATAATCAATTGACACATGCATCTTCAACAAAACTGGTTTTATATTATTCAAAACAATGATTACAAACTTTTGAAAGTTAAAATGATATATCTAATATAATTATTTAAAAAGATAATCTGGAATACACTGTGTCTTGCATTGCTGATACACTAGTTACATTAACAATGTTCAGCTTGAAAAACCTAACAGTAATGCCAACAAGGATGAAATTATTTGAAATAAACAAATAGATAATAAATTAAAAGCCTGATCTAGGGCGT